CTTTCTCTCTGTCTCTGTGTGTGTGTATGTGTGTGTGTGTGTCTAACAGTCATGTGCTAATGTCAGGCATATGCCCTTGATTACACATAGGGTCAGTCAGTCTATGCCACCCCTCACTAAGCCCCAGGGGCTCACTATCACCTGCAAGATCAAACATAAACTCCTCTGCTTGGCATTTAGAGGTCTTCACATCCCATCCCCTTCCTCTCTTTCTGGGCTTCTCATACTTTACTGCCCCCATACTCTAGAACATAGTTGTATGGACATATTAGCTAACCCCAGTCAGGACAAGGATAAAGTGTGGTAATATTGAGGAATGAGTAGCCACAAGCAAAACAAATTTCCTGATCCTGAAAGGTCCATCAAAAAGAGAAAAAAAAAGAAAATCAAATAATGAGAAACCAGGAGCTACCCATCAACTGGGGAAATATTGAACAAGTTATGATCTGGAAATGTAGTGGAATAGTAAGGTGTGTTAGTGATAAAAGAGATAATTTCAGAAAATTCTGGGAGCTATAAATTGATGCAGAGTCAATTTAACAGAACTAGGAGAACAGTTTGCATGTGGACAAACAATTTTGCTAAGAAAAAAGACTTAAGAACTCAGAAATTCAATAATCAACCTGGTCTCCAGAAGACCTAGAATGAAACATGTTTCCTACCTCCTGACAGGCAGGTGATGAACTCAAGGTATAGAAAAGGACATGTTTTGGCCACAATCACTGTGAGGGTTTATTTTGTTTGACCATGCTTTTCTCTTACATGAGGTTTTCTTTTTCTCTGTTTTTAACTGGGAGGGTTAGAGGAGGAAAGGGAGTTTAGCAATAGTGATGCAATCCCCAAAAAAAGCTATTGAAACAATTTTAATTATATAGTAGGAAAAAGAAGTTCAGAGTGAAGTTGAGATAAGCAGGGAAGTTTTGAAAAACAATGTTTGGAAATTATTATATTTTTTTTTAAAAAGCAAGTGGTATGAAGTAGACATTCACAGATTTTATACAATCCTTTTTGTGTTCTCTTGTGTAAAAAAATAGTATGAGACTTGTTAAATGAATTGATTTTAAAAAAAGAGTTAAACTATATCTACAACTTTGCCCTCCCCTATAGTCTAATGACCCTGTCAAGAAAAAAAAATTAAATTAGTCTTTTTTGACTTCTCTTGCTAAAGGCATGCTGGCTCTTTGTAATATCTGCTCCTTTTTTTAGATGTTCACCATCCATTCATTTAGTAATATGTTCTAGAATTTTTCCAGAAATCAAAGGCAAACTCACTGTTCCATAGCTGGTAGATTTCACACTCTTCAGATATGTCATGTTCAGATAAGAGTGAAATGAATTTGATGCATTTATGTGCAACTTGATGCTCCTTTGTTTAAGCTATGAAACATTATCTTCCATGTGACTCTGATCTCTCCTTCCTCAATATGATACTGAATCTATTTGCATCTTACCAAAGAGCTACTCAGTTTTGTCATCAGTAAGCACTTCATAAGCAGGGAACAGTTTCTGATAAGTTAATATAAATTACTTAAGGAAGTGATTTCAAAGGAATGTGGCTTCCAGGATAATTTCAGAAGGGCAGACAGATCTAGGAAGTAGGTAATGAAAATGGGAACACAGGAGGAGGCCTTCACCATCTTCTAACATTCTCTCACCAAAGAATGGTGAGAATTTCTATTTTGATAAAAATTGTTGTAACAAATCAATTCAGATGAAGACATCATCTTCACCTTATAAGTTCCTCAGGAAAATAGCTTATAAAATGATGACAGGTTCCAGTTGGCACCAGTCTTTAGGAGAAATGGTAATTGGCTGCCCCTCCCTTTAGACATTGATGAAAAAAATCACCAGTAGACATTGGGTTAGCAACACATCCACTCAGAATGCATTTCCCTTGGTCCTCTAAATTTGTCACTTCTGCTGGGTTGTCCTAGTTACAAATGCTAGGAGGTACTAGCACATTGACCAGATGCTAGTATATGTGAATTGAGCAGCAGATACTCCAGAGTGTAAGGCAGTTCCAGAGGAAGAAATCAAAGATATAGATAGTCATGTGAAAAAAGCTCTCAGGCATTCCTGATTAGAGAAATGCAAATTAAAGCAACTTTGAGATACCACCTCACACTGGTCAGATATTGTAACAACACAGAAAAATGAAAGTGACAAATTCTGGAGGGAATGTGGGAAAAATTAGGACACTAATGCACTGTTGGTGGAGTTGTGACGTGGTCCAACCATTCTGCAGAACAACTTGGAATTATGTTCAAAAGGCTTTAGAATTATACACGCTCTTTGACCCAGCAATACCAATACTAGATCTAGATCCCACAAAGATCAAAGAAAAAGGTAAAAGACTGATTTGTACAAAAATATTTATAGCAGCTTTTTTTATGGTGACAAAGAATTGGAAATTAAGGGGATGTCCATCAATTTGGGAATGACTGAACGAGTTATGGCATATGATTGTGATGAATACCTTTATTGTGCTATAAGAAATGATAAGCATATTGGTGTCAGAAACACAAGGGAAAGTTTATATGAACTCATGCAAAGTGAAGGGAGGAAAACCAGAACAACATTATACATAATAACAGCTACTCTGATCAAGACAACGATCCAAGACAATTCCAAAGGACCTATGACAAAAACTGCTATCCACCTCCAGAGAGAAAACTGATGGAATCTGAATGCAGATCAAAGCACGCTTTTTTTTACTTTCTTCATTTTCATTGGAGTTTTTTGTCTTCTTTTGCAATATGGCAAATATGAAAATATGTTTTGCATGACTCTACATGTATAATCAGTATCAAATTGCTTCTCTTCTCGAGGAGAGGAGAGAGGAAAAAAGGAAGAGAATTTGGTATTCAAATATTTTTAATGAATGTTTAAAAATTTATATGTACTTTGGAAATATTTAACAAAATAAATAAAAAGACATTAAAAAAAAGACATTGCAGAGTGTGTATTTCCTAGGTTCTCTAAACCTTAGAGGCAGGTAGGTGGAGCAGTGGGTTGATAGAACACTGGGCTGAGAGTAAGGAAGATATGAGTTCAAATATGACCTCTGATATTTCCTAGTGGTGCGCCCCTGAGCAAGTCACTTAGCCTCCTTCAGCCACAGTTTTCTCAACTAAGTTGGCAATAATAATAGCACTTACCTCCCAGGGTTCCTGTGAGAAAATATTTGTAAACAAGGTACAGGAAGCTTAGAGTGCTTGGACAAAGAGATCTCAAGAGAGTCAGCTACCTACCATGATAGAACTTCCATGACAATTTTGACTGTGGATGTGAGACTAGAAGCAGGCAGCATTCTGAATAAGATGACCTAAGGGGCCAGAAATCTATAGCAACCTGACCTGAGACACTTCAGAGGGCTCTGAAGACAACAGCATTCTAAATCCAAACAATACTAAGGAGCTTGAAATCTGCCCAACACTCTGAGCACAGACACACCAAAGGAGGTGGAATCAGTGACAGGAACCCAGGCAATCAAGGTCAGGAGCAAAAAGGAACTGACCATCCCATCTAACCTTGCAAGGAGATTCAGAATCTAGCCCTGGTATAAAGAAAGACCCAAATCAGGAACTAATGCTGGAGATATGAGTCAACAGAAGAAAAAAAAAAACAACAAATATTATAGGACAATAGATACTCAAAAGATGCACCTAGAAAAAGAGAGAAACCACATGATTAGAAGGATATGCTCAGAAAAAAAATGTCTTGGCCACAAGCACTAAAAGGGTACATGAAAGAAAAGAAATAGGAGATTTCTAAAAATGAAATTATAAATGAAATAAGATTTCTTGAAAAAAGGATTAGAAGGAGAGCAAATATTCTAGAACATAAGGCAAGATATCATATCCAAGTAGCAGACTCTCTGAAAATTGCAATGGAGCAAATAGAACTCAATGACCCTATGAAATAAAAAGAAATATTAAAATAAATTAAAAGATTGAAAAATAGAAGAAAATATAAGGCATTTTTTAAAGTGACCTAGAGAATAGGTCAAGGAGAGATAGCTGAAGTGTAAAATATGTGGGGGTGGGGATGAGGGAAGTAAGAATTGTCTCAATATATGGGTGTGGTTCACAGACGGCATGAATAGATATGATCTGATGCACCACCAGCATTCCATCTGAGGGAAGGATCAGAAGATCCAAAAAATCCAAGACTCAGCAATCTCTTCTCCATTCTCCATGCCTCAAATATCTCTGCTTTAGAGGTATGATAGAGTCAGAATAAAATCCAGAATATCAACAATCATAAGAAAAAAGTGTTCTAAATCAATAATAATAAGAGAAATTCAATTTAAAACAACTCTGAGATTTCACTTTACTCACATCAGATTGTCAAATTTGGCCAAATAATGAGAGCTGCTGACTGAAGTGGGGAAGAACAAACATGCTAATATATTGTTAGCGGGGCTATGAATTGATCTGAGAATGCTGAAAAGCAATTTGGAACTGTACTCCAAGTCATTAAGTTATATATAATCTTTATTTGCAAAATGCTTGGCAAACCTTAAAGTACTCCATAAGTCCTAGCTATTATTATTCTGTATACACATAGGTATATATACATAAATACATACGTATGTATGTCTATGTGTATACCCAAGAAGATAAAAAGAAAGAAAGCATCCAAAAGTAAAAAATATTCATAGTAGCATCTTTTTTTGCAGCAAAGAACTAGAAACTAAGGTTGTGCCTATCAGTTGGAGAATGCCTGAACTTATAAAGGTGCATGAATGTAGTGGAATATTATTGTGCCATAAGAATAATTCCATTCTCTATATGTGACATAGAAACTTTTTTTCTGTATGGAACTGAATCCTCCATTTCTCTGACTCTGACTCCTCCCTACTCTGTGTGATACTAAATCCTGCAACTATTTGCATCTTAACAGAAGTCTTTCAATCACTACTGGTTGGACTTTCATCCACGAAAAGGCGTTTATTACCCAAGTAATTGTGAAAACTCCAAGCCTGAGATCAGAACTAGAGAACAATAGCAGAGCAGTTTGGAAGAAGCAAGTGCAAAACTGACCCTGAAGAATTTCTAAGCACTCTGGACCGAGACAGCAGCACAAGTCAGAGGAGGACAAAAGGTACTACTGACGCTGCGGAAAAACGGGTACCTGTGTGTGCTTACTTACCTCAGATCAGAGAAGCTGTAGAGTAGTAGCAAGGCTACAGCTAATAGAGAGATTACAAAGGGAGGAAATCCATCTGCAGACATGCTGAACTCACTCCAAATCTTTTTTTGCTCATGGCCTTCAGCCAGTTCATTCTGGGGATTTTGGGGAATGGCTTTCTTGGGCTCATCAATTGCATTCACTGGATCAAGAGGAGCAAGATTTCCTTACCTGACTTCATCATTATGAATCTAGCCTCCAGGATCTTCCTGCAATGTGTCATCGTTTTTGATGCCACTAACATCATGCTCTATCAGGATTTCTGTTATGAAGTGACATTAAGTCGAATTTGTGAAACTAGCTGGACTCTTAATAACTTTTTAAGCATCTGGCTGTCTACCTGTCTCAGTATCTTCCACTGCCTGAAGATTGCCATTTTCTCCCATCCTGCCTTCCTCTGGCTTAAGAGGAGGATTTCCCAGGTGGTTGCCTGCCTTCCGCTGGGCTGTGTGCTCTTCTTTTTCTTCAATACAGTGCTGTTGATCCAAAAATTCGATTTATTTTCTAGTGTCCTAAAAATGAAACTCATTGCAAACTACACTGAAAATATCAAAAGAAAGGAAAGAGAATTTTACATATTCTACTTTCTTGGTCTCCTGTCGGCACTGATGCCTTTCCTTATATCCCTGTTCTCCTGTCTCTTACTCATCCTCTCCCTAAGGAGGCACACCAGGATGATGTGGCACCATGTCACTGCTCCCAGAGATGTGAGCACTAAGGCCCATGTGAGAGCCACCATTGTAATGTTTTCCTTCCTCCTACTCTTTGTCTTTCATTTTGTCATTCTCCTCATTGGGACAGCAATCACTTTCCTGGCATATGCCAAGCTGATAATGGTTATAGAGGTGGCTAGCCCTGTCTATCCCTCTGTGCATACATTTATCCTCATTCTGCAAAACAAAAACCTGAAGCAGGCATTCCTGAGGCTGTTGAGGTTGAAGAAGGGCTGCATAGAAAGCAGTTTGGGAGCAGAGTTTTTGTGGAGTTCTTATATTTGGATATTATGATATCCAAATATAAGTGATAGGGTGACCAGTGAGCAGGAACAAAGATGAATGTCTTTGAAATAGGCAGACATCAAATGTGATCATGCTCCCATATGTCAGATATTTGGAAAGCTGCAGATGGAAAAAGGGAGGTTTGAAGACAGATGTGTGGGGCGGGGGTTGGGTGGGTGAGAGAAGGCAAGGATAATAATAATTATACTATCTCTTATTTCTTATTTATTTCATGCTTTGGGAAGTGTCTTTATCAGACCAATGCTGGGAGGTAGATAGTACAAGCACATTTATCTCAAGGTAATACCAGTTCACCAGGAAGCTGGGGCTAATATAGACCACATAAGATCCTGGAGGCTGATCCTTTTCTCTTTGACTTGTTGCTTTGACCTGAAGTGGGAGGAAATTTTTCTAGCATCCTCACCTACCTGCTTTCTAAGTCTCTCCAAATGTGAATAAAAGTAGTCCCCAACTTCTGTGCATGTACTCAAGGCAGCAATACCTTAAACCTTTATTTCACCCCACAGAAAATGCAGAAGACACAAAGCACTCATAGGAGTTCATAAACTGATACAAACAAACCCCTACAAACACACACAAGAAGTCGTAAAATAACCCAGAAGATCTCTCCAGAGGGGAATTGAACAGAGGGTGACTACTGGGGCAACCCTTTGACATTCCAGGGAGTCTTTTTCCTCCCAGAGTCCTACATTGGAACACCTCCCCCACAAAAATTTAAAGTGCCACCTTGTAACGTAGAATCCTTCTAGAAAAAAATACATATGCATATACACAGAGCTACTAAAGTTAACAATTCCTTTCCCTGGACCTGTAATATCTCAATAATTCATTTACTGCTCTCCAAACTAGATGCTGTGCAAACCATTTAGATAATACTCTTCTTTCTCCAAGAACCATGCTGCATCAGGAGATCCTCTTCTCTTCAAAAGGTCTGATCTCAGGGACTTCTGGGTCAAGTGAACAACAAAGTGGAGGACTAGACATTTTCTACAATCTCTACTAACTCTCGGGGGAAAAAATGAGCCAGAGGTACAGCAATTACAGCTGAATTAATGGAAGAAATAAAGCAAGAGACCCAACAAGGTAACAGTCTTCTCAATTAATAGTAGAAAATGCTAACCCCCATCACATGCATTCAACACCCCTCCACCACCAGTCATCAGTCTACTGCAGGGTGAACAATCCACACCAGCACAAACTGACCTAAGGCTTATGCTTTGCATTCCCCTCCTGCTACAGAGAGTCTGCAGGCACACTCGTGTTCATCCCCTCATTCTTCTCTGGATGCCACTATTCAAAATTCTTTTTCTATCATAACTCTGTAGCCTTCTTACCCTGAAAGATCAATCCTCCCCAGACCAGTGATGTTCACTCCTTCATTCTTATATGGAATTCTTCTCTTGACTCTCTGGAATTCTTTATCCATCATGCCCCACATGAGTACTTTCCTTCCAACCACCTGATTAGCCTCATGTGTTGCCTTCCCCGATTAAAATGAAGCTCCTTGAGAGAAGTTGCTTGTATTTATATACTTTGCACTTGCCATAGTGCCTGCCATATAGCAAGCACTTAATAAAGGCTCATTGACTTGTTGACCTAACCCTGTGTTTCTTCCACTATCCTACTATAACAAGCAGTAGACTTTGACTCTGCCTAACTGCGCGAAGTGGAGGGGGAGGAATAGGAAAAGACAGAGATGAGCTTCCTTCTATCTGGGGCAGATCCTAAGTAAAAAACCCCAAGGCTACAATAACCACCTCACCCCCTCCAACCCTACAAAAAGATGAAGATGATCAATAAGGACATTCAGAGAAGTAAAGAATAGGAAGAACTGGGGCAAAGGGCCAGAATAAATGGTTATACTGGGCCTGAAGGAAAAAGAACTAGAATTCAGCTGAGAGCAGCATTGACTTCCCAAAAACTTGGAGCACAGTTAGAGGTTGGTGAAAAAGGGAAGAGTCAGAAACTGAGTGAGAAAATAATATGAGAAAAAAATTAAAACCACTCTAAAGCTCTAGAAAGAAAATTCAATCAAAAACCTAGAATACAAGCACACAAATCAAGAGAAGATATTAAAATTAGAAAGAAGGATGAATACTAAAATATCTAAAAGATTACAACCTTCTCTAAATAAATAATACTAGAAAAAGAAAAGTGAGCCAATGTTTGATGAAACACAGAATACTAAGAGAGCATAAAACAAAAGCAAAATATTCCAGAATAATTCAAAAAAGAAATTAAAAGGTTAAGAGAAGTTAGAAGGGAACATATGTCAGAATATATGGCCTGCACAGCAAAAATACTTAGCAGAATAGGACAACTTAATCATCAAGGAGAGTGAAAGAGAAAAACAGATTTGGAATATAAGTTGTTGTTTGTCCTTCATTCTCAAGGAGGACCATGACATCAGGAACGTGATGCAACAACTTGCAAGCAAATTGGATTTAAGTGAAAGAATAGAAGTACACTGAAGCTAAGGACATCTAGAAGAAGAGGTACAAAAGGAAATAATGCTAACAGAACTCATAATCTCTGTTATAAGCAAAAGTCACTGATCTCAAAGACAAGATGCACAAGGACAATTTAAGGATCGTATGTCTCCAAGAAAAACATGGCAAAAAGGAAATCAGAATACCATATTGCCAAAAGCAACACAAAAAAAAACCCTCAGAACTTCTATACACAGGAAACAAAAAGATTACTCAAAAGAGCCCATATGTTACATCTAAAAAAAGATACTATTCTTCAAACTCTGAGACACATAGCAGCTAACTTTAATAATTCAATTAACAAAAAAACAAATTTTTCAGGTGACTAGGGGAAATACCTTCAAATACAAATGAAAGGAAATTTAAATATCACATGTCTATTTTGCACCCACTAGAAACTTAAGAAGGGAAGGTAATAACATATTCCTAAAAGCAAAGGACATGATGCAAATCAAAATGACATATGCTGCAAACTTGAGCCCAATTTTCAATGAAGAAAAGATAGATATTCAATGACATTAAAAAAGGTGTTCATAGCATTCCTAAAAAACATGTATGGTTTGATCCTGAAATTCTGAAACTTTAGCTGAGTAAACATATACATCTTCTGTCATGTGCTTCTATGGGAAAACCTGTTCCCATGAATTTGGATTTATGATCCGTGCTCAGAAGCTATGAGCAAAAAGAAGTAACCACCATGTATGCCTACTCCCAAAGCAGTTACTCTAGTTCCTAAATGTAGGAAATGGTACATAAGCACAGATCTCTCTTTCCTACCAACACACACACCCATCCTGAACTTAAGTCCACTCTGCTACGTGATGGTCTCTTCCTGTAAAGACCAAGAGAGCAAGCTTTCTATCTGCCCACTTTTATTGACTGTAGAGGAGAGCAGCAACTCTAACAAGTGTCCATCCTCCTGAGTCTTGCCCAGCAATATAAGAGCACCCTGTGTCTCAGAAGGTACCATTGGACATACCTACACTCCAAAGAGACCTGTTAGTCAAGTGTTTGCAAACAAAAGCTGACATCCTATAAGACTGCATCAGGATGACTGGGGAATTCATCAGATTGATTAGGGACTCTCTGATCAGCAACACTTATATTGAATGGCTAATAATATATTGAAGACATTTAAATGTGAGCAGCTGAGCAGCATTATTCGGATGACTTAGAAGGGCTTGCTAGAACACCTAGGGAAAGGAGGAAGGAGAGTGCCTTACACTCCATCTGGCATTGTGATGGACCAGTAAGGAAGAGATGTTTAGCTCCCACTACCCTTTAAATTTATATTATACTTATTACTGTATATCTCGTAATTCATCTTCCTCCTACCAAAAATAAATAAATAAATTATTTGACTGTGTCATCAGATAGTAACAGTAAACCACCTGTCCAGATAAAGGCTCAGATCAAGGACCCCCAGGCAGGAGAAATAACCTCCCTTTGCTAGATTTTTCTAGTTTATACGTATAGATTATGCTTATTGTCAAAAAGAAAAAAGTAAAGAAAAGAAATTGCCATAAAGGAAATTAATTTGGAACCAATGCTTTTTCATGATGGGAATATGAACATATACCTAAAATCTTTTGGCATGAATAGGTCAGAGCAATGAGAGGTAGCAGAAAAGTGTGAAGGAAACTAAGAAGCTGGGGGCATAATGGTATTACAAAAAGAGTTCTGTTTGAGAAATCACAAAGCCTGCCTTCATGTCTTGGCTCTCCTACAACTAGTTGTATAACTTTGGTTTGGAATTTTCGTTTTGCTTTTTAAAAAAAAATATTTACCAAGTAGGATCAGGAAAGAAATAAGTATTTGTTAAATTATTATCTCAATTTATCTTCACAATAACACTGTGCTATTATTATTCCCATCTTACAGTTGAGAAAACTGAGGCCTACAAAGGTAATGTGACGGACTTGGCCAGGATCACATAGCTAGTAAGTGACAGGGGCTGACTTTGAACTCAGGTTTATCCGACCCCAGGCCCAAGAGACACTGAGAACTTAAGTATTTGCTCAGAGTCACACAGCCAATATGTGTCAGAGGTAGGACTTAAATCCAGCTCTTCCTGACTCTGAGGCCAGTTCAGCATGACCCAGAATATGTGGTTTACATGGAACCTCTTCTTTGTCATCTATTAAATGAAGGAGTTGGACTAAAATATTTATGATGATTTTTTGTTTTTTTTTCAACTTTTAAAAACCCTTCAGTTTAAGACTCAGGTAGGAAGAGGCTCAAGTCCTGGTGGGCATTCCTGCTGGGGTCCCTTAGAAGACTGGAGTTGGTGCAGAAGAGTCAGATCTGGGCTTTTTTTTTTTATTTACTTGGTGTGAAGAATGGTATATTATGTCTTTAGAATCCAGAGCATTTTGTAATGAATTCTAGGTGATGGAAAACTGTATTACCTATTTGTAATTCTCCCTTTCTGAATTCTTGCCCTGCTTTGATCCATCTTCCACTCAGCTTCTGGCTTCCAGCTTCAAGAGTGGACTGGTG